CGGGTGAAATGAGAAATGGCGACACCGTCGGCAGTTGGAAAAAACATGTGAAAGTGTGTGAAACTGTTGACGGTTGTGTAAAATAAATGGCAGTACTACCTCTCATAAATAACACGAAGACTTCACAAAGCAAGTATTACAATTAACAGCCTACACGAACACCCGTTTGATCGATCTGCAACAGAAATGCAAATTAACACATATTTCCAAAAAGAAAGTGAAATATTTTCTGCAATAATTATGACATGTTATACAATTCATCCTCATAAATAAGATGGTAAACAGAACGGAACACAATGGCTGATATTGCGCTCTTAGAAGATGTGGCGATTAAATGGAAGGATTCGGACTGAACGCATCATCTTCACAACAAAAGGTGTGGAAAAAATATATTAATTATTCAAGAATTCCCTCATTGTGCAGTTTATTTCAGTTAGGACAGTCTTGATTTTGCCCAACTCCTTGGCCACCTCTCTAATTGAATTAATGACTAGACGCTTATTTGCCTCGACTTTGATGTCCGACCATTTCTTTTTTATTTCGGCCACAGTCCGAGGTTGTGAGGCTACAGCATTTATGGCGTCTGCAACCTTTTGCCACTCTAGTGCCTTTTTGGCATTAGTAATGCCCACACTGTGCCCTCCAAACAACATTTTTCTCCTCTTTTCCACCTCGCCAACAATAACTTTTACTTTACATTGAGTGAAGTTACGTTTTTTGTTTATTTCCTCTCTGTGTTTAACATGATTTCGCAATCGATGAATATTAGCTTGTGGGCGTTTCACGGACTATTTATGGTCAACTATGGGCGTGACTTGAAGCCGCAAAAGCTGTGCTACATTTAGAATTGATTGTGATTTATTAAGGGACGCAAATGCGTCGCAAATCCTATGCAAAGTTTTATAAATGAGGCCCCAGATCTCAACCCAATAGAGCATCTTTGGTATGTGGTGGAATGGGAGCTTCGTGCCCTGGATGTGCATCCCACATCTCTATTAACTGTTAGATGCTATCCTATCAATATGGGCCAACATTTCTAAAGAATGCTTTCAGCACCTTCTTGAATCAATGCCACGTAGAATTAAGGCAGTTCTGAAGGTGATAGGGGGTCAAACACAGTATTAGTATGGTGTTCCTAATAATCCTTTAGGTGAGTGTATATTGTGCCTTTTAAAATAACCTTGACACCATTTGGTTGAGAGTATAAAACCAAAAATGGGTCTGGAAAGTAGAATTAGTTCTGAGAAAAGGTCTTGCGTCATTTGTTTGCAGATTCCACATGGCTTGATATTTTGTATTCAGTCACAGTGTAATGTTATTCATACATGTTGTGTGTCTTAAGTGTCCAAACACTTTTTTGGGTCACTGTGTTTAATAATAACCAGAAACAGTATGTCCAGTCTCATGTTGCAGAGCTGGCATTGGTTAATTGCTGATATGTGTTTGGTGAAATGGCTAACTCAAAGTGTCATGGGGTTAAATTATATATTGATACACCATAATAAAACAATATGTAAAAATAGATCACATGCACGTACTGAAAGCTTATCAAAATTGTGATATGAATAAACAGTGTTCATCAACCAGTGTTACCCAAACAAAGGCAAAATACTTAAACTATATACTGTACTTTGTAGATTATAATTAAGTGTAATTAAAATATTTTAAAGAGTTAGCCTAGTTGAAAATTGAAATTGAAAATTTTTAAAATGAATTACTCAACCGTATGTCATCCAAACCAGTAAGAAGAATTGGAAGAATTAGTAAGATTTGGAACACAACTTAAGATATTTTTGATGAAATCCGAGAGCTTTCTCTCCATTGACTCCAACGTTATTACCACTTTCAAGGCCTAGAAAGGTAGTAAATACATTGTTAAAATAGTCCATGTGACAGACCACAGTGGTTCAACCTTAATGTGAGGAGAATACTTTTTTGTGCAAAAAAAATTGCAACTTTATTCAACAAAATCATCTTTTTTTCTTCCGTGTGAGTTTTTCTGACGCTGTTCACGTAGTCAACTCAGTGCAGCGCTTCCAGGTTCTTCGACAGAATGCCAGCTCATTGTTGGCCGACACTGTTCACATGAGCAACACGAAACGTGTGGTGCTGCCGCAGGAGCGGGCCAATACTGAGCCAGCGTTCTGACGTAGAACCTGGAAGTGCTGCACTGTGTTAACTACGTGAACAGCTTAGGAAAATGACGTGGAAGAGATTGTTGAATAAAGGACTACTTAACAATGTATCTTTCTGGGCGTTGAAAGTGGTAATATTTTTGCAGTCAATGGAGGGGCAGAAAGCTCTTGGATTTCATCAAAAAATACTTTAATTTGTGTTCTGAAGATGAACGAAGGTCTTACTGGTTTGGAACGACTTGAGGGTGAGTAATTGACAGAAATTTCATTTTTGGGTGAACTAACTCTTATGTAGAAGTACAGAAGTACATGGTGAAACTACATGTTAATGTAGTTTCACCATATATTCTATGGAACTATGGAAAAACATATGTTTAACTCAATATGGTAATGTAATTGTATCCAATCATCCTAGCCTAGAAATCTAGACACCCTAGCGGCAGCAAAAATTATTTTGCAGCCAGTGTGGTCTAGCAACTCTCTGTTGGCTTTCCAAATGAAGAGTTGGTGGATGGGCTTAACGCAATGACGGCAGAGTTGTGTCGGTTTTGCGCCGTGATTTCCCTGCTACTGATGCTATTATGAATGTATTAGATAATAATACTCTGTGATCCTCTGTTTGTGTATGTTGTATATTGTTCTTGTTATGCGCAAAAAAAATTATTTAAAAAAATTCCCTGCTACCTGAAAACAAACAAGATGCTGCTGGCGAACAGTGGTGTTTCGACTCGGCTTCGGCCGCGACTTTGGTGGACTTGGAGTTAAGAGAACATCACTTAAGTCATTCTTAAAAAAAGAAGATGTGTTCGGAGTTTTGACGACCCGGATACGGCAAAAGTTTAATATATCAACTATAGCGCCACTGGTGGGAACACGCATGCACTGTAAAAAAATATTTTCATGATTTGTAATCACAACATTTTTTCTTTTGTCAAAACAACTTAAATAATTTATGTATTTCAGATAACATAATATTTCGAGTTTCTGAAGATTAAATCAATCTCCTTCATTGTATTAACTCAGTTTTTCCATTTAAATGAACTAGGCAACTAGGTTACTTCATTTTTTAAGTTAAACCAACAATATTTTTTTACAGTGTGGGACTCACTCAGCCACAGAATTTTGTTGCTATAGTTGGTTGTAGTAGTGCTATCTTATTGCGTGCTGAGGGGTATTGAAAGACAACCGTTTATCCCGCCCCTCGGATTGAGGTATGCCAATTGTGAGTTCCCAGACCTAACATCTTGATGTAGGTCTGGCTTGCCAGGCTACAATCATCCCCCATTCACATTATATTTTTTTTACAATGTATAGGTAGGGTTAAAGCAAGAAGGTGAAGAAAATGCTGCTTTAGATAAGATTTAGGATCTAACTAAATGAAATGGAGCATGGCATTGGGATGTTAGGCAATGTTTTTTGTAACCTCTTCATTTTATTTTGTACTGTCTACTCCCATAATATTGAGGGAGCATCTCATTACAATGCAGACCTCCTTACACTCCTCTGCTACATGGAATTTTCCGTAGACCAATCCCTGTCCCCTGTTTGAGTGAAGTGTGTGTGCACCCCTGTTCCTCCCCTGTGTATCGCGACTATTGTTCTGAAAGGACTTTCACAAGGCTGAAGGGCTCTGGAGTAACATGTCTGTATTGCACCAGAAGACAAGAATGGTAGAGAACCTGATCTCTTAACTTTCTTATTTAATCATTAACTGATTCATGAAATGGAACAAACATGCCTTGCCTATTGTGCCTACCTTTTAAAGGTTTCTGCTTATTTTGTTCTGATCTACCTGTAGTTTTTGTTTTCTTGAGGGTAACATGGTGTGTCCTGTGCTTAATGTGTAACTCGATTTACTGAAAGAGAAAGGAAGTTAGTTGAAAAGATTCTGTAAATTTTAGATTTCACTGTACACGACATTGGCAATTCGATTAATATTCAATATTGGCAAATATTCTGAGTGTACTGTACAGGCAGCTTTTGTTCTTTTATGTCAAGTACTTGACATGAATCAAGATTCTGAATAATGGAGCCAGTGCCAGTTTGTTCCAGTGATATGACACTTTTGTTCCAGATCAAAAGTTATTTCAGGTTGTACATTTTCATGTGTTTCAGCCCTGAAAATAGTAATGATATTTACAAATCAATTCAGCATAAAAGTATTTATCTTGAAAAATATATTTCAACTTTTTGAAAACATATTTAAGGAAAATATGTTGTTTCTGTTTAAATTTTTACTCCACATGACATTTTGTTTTTTGTTTTTAAATCGCATAATTTTATAATCTTAATGTTTCGTTTTGTTTTTAATGGGCATTATTATTTAATAACATTGACCCACTTTTTACCTGACAATGCATATTTATTGTTTTATTTCACACAGGTGATTAACCTGTTTACTGTAAAACACATTGCACCCAAATATTGCACTGTATTGAGTAAATAGTTTACACACTGGATTATACTGCTAAATTGAGCTAAGCCTATTCATTTTATTTTCAAACAGTTTGAAGTACTTTGGTGGGAGATTAGTACAGTGATGGTATAAAATAGAAATATAATACTTGCTGAATAATTATGGGACATGGTATAATTCTATACTGTGCTTAATGATTAAACCATATTCATATTGGGTATGTACCGTGGTTAATATAGCATGATTTCAGTCCAAAAATGGCAATATTACAATGCCATATCCAAAACCTTTCTAAAAAAGTTTCTTCCAAGAATTCTCAAAAAAAAAACAAAAAAAAAACAAAACAAAAAAAAAACATTCTTTTTTTGGTCAATATTTGTTCTAGTGATAAATGCTAAATTCACAAGGCATTTATCTTGTATCAATTATTTATTTATTTTTTTCAGCAGGTACTTCACTGTGAGGGGGTGAATAATAAAAGCTACGTGTGTGAGACGGGACACTGTTGTGGAGAGTCCCAGTGCTGTAGCTACTACTATGAAATTTGGTGTAAGTGCATCTTTATGTTTAATATCAGGGTCACAATGTTTCATAGGAATTCATAAAGGCTCATTCACATTCAAGAATGATGACGAACTAAAACTTCCAAACATTCATTAAACTATGTTAAATTTCTCCGCCATCAATTGACATTACTGATCTTGCCGATTCAGATAAATGTATTTTGCCTGTGCAATTTTGCTGTTTAAGGTGAAATGTAACCTAGCCTTAAGAGGTTTAGAAGAACTAAACACTATATATATATATATATATATATATATATGCTGAAAAAATGAGGAGGAAAGGCTGTTTTACAGGAAGAGAGTTCAGTTTAAGATGCTCAACCTTTTGCTAACTGTGGAGTAAGAATGATATGAGTCTCGCAAATACTTATGTGTGACCAAATATGCACAAGCAGTGGTTTTAGAGGAATTAGTCAGGTTTTAAGTAGCAGTATAAAGTACAAATGCATACTTTAAAGTTTTTTTTTTTTCTTCCGTGTGTGGGATTATTCCATGTTTATTTTTTCTTTTTTTTTTTTCAGGGTTCTGGCTGGTATGGGCCATCATCTTCATCCTGAGCTGCTGCTGCGTGTGTCATCACCGTCGCACCAAACACAGACTACAACAGCAACAACGACAGCACGAGATCAACCTCATTGCCTACAGAGAGGTTCACAACAACACCTCTATCCCCTTCTACTTCAGTAATATCATCTCTCTTATATACATATTTGCTACTTTGATTCATTTAGCAAAGAACCTAGACAAATAAGGGAATTTAAAAATCTAAGTAAAAAATCTAAGCTGATTACTTTAAAGCTCAAACATTGAATGTTTAATAATAAACCTAACATTCTGATACTGGTAAAGCTTCTATTGTTAGTATGCATTTTCTTATTTTAATACTCTTTACATAATATATATATATATATACACTCACCGGCCACTTTATTAGGTACACCTGTCCAACTGCTCGTTAACACTTAATTTCTAAGCAGCCAATCACATGGCGGCAACTCAGTGCATTTAGGCATGTAGACATGGTCAAGACAATCTCCTGCAGTTCAAACCGAGCATCAGTATGGGGAAGAAAGGTGATTTGAGTGACTTTGAACGTGTCATGATTGTTGGTGCCAGAAGGGCTGGTCTGAGTATTTCAGAAACTGCTAATCTACTGGGATTTTCACGCACAACCATCTCTAGGGTTTACAGAGAATGGTCCGAAAAAGAAAAAACATCCAGTGAGCGGCAGTTCTGTGGGTGGAAATGCCTTGTTGATGCCAGAGGTCAGAGGAGAATGGCCAGACTGGTTCGAGCTGATAGAAGGGCAACAGTGACTCAAATAACCACCCGTTACAACCAAGGTGGGCAGAAGAGCATCTCTGAACGCACAGTACGTCGAACTTTGAGGCAGATGGGCTACAGCAGCAGAAGACCACACCGGGTGCCACTCCTTTCAGCTAAGAACAGGAAACTGAGGCTACAATTTGCACAAGCTCATCGAAATTGGACAATAGAAGATTGGAAAAACGTTGCCTGGTCTGATGAGTCTCGATTTCTGCTGCGACATTCGGATGGTAGGGTCAGGATTTGGCGTCTACAACATGAAAGCATGGATCCATCCTGCCTTGTATCAACGGTTCAGGCTGGTGGTGGTGGTGTCATGGAGTGGGGAATATTTTCTTGGCACTCTTTGGGCCCCTTGGTACCAATTGAGCATCGTTGCAACGCCACAGCCTACCTGAGTATTGTTGCTGACCATGTCCATCCCTTTATGACCACAATGTACCCAACTTCTGATGGCTACTTTCAGCAGGATAATGCGCCATGTCATAAAGCTGGAATCATCTCAGACTGGTTTCTTGAACATGACAATGAGTTCGCTGTACTCAAATGGCCTCCACAGTCACCAGATCTAAATCAAGTGAAACAATGTCTATTTTAAGGTTTTCCAAAAAAATTGTTCATTAAGCCCTCGTCTAGTGATCCGAATGCTCCAAATAGCAATTAAACATCTGAAATGATCTTTAAATTAGTTGTATATAGGCTGTCTGTTTTATTAATGTTAATCAAACAATTGTGGTAAAATGAAGAAAAGTTATTTTAACAATAGAAATATAGGAAATATTTGTTTTTGACTTGGTGTGTGTGCCAAATTTTGTGTCGTTACCAGGTTTTTTTTAATGTAATGATTGCTAGGGGATTTTGTTTTGGAACCTTCAGAAAACTTTAACTTGATTTTTCTCAATTAACTTTGCTGACTATTGACTTCAAACAGGTGTAGCTCAGTCATTTTTGGTCTGATTCTAACAAATCATACATTATTTGAAGGGTTTTTAATAAATCATTTGAAAATACAAGTATATTATAAATAAATATATAAATCATAATAAATAATATAAAAATAAAAGTTGCTTATTTTGACTCCTTTTGACAGCACAGGTCACACAATCACATTATAAATATGTATAAAGTGAAAGTCAATGTGACATGACGTGAAGGACGGGTACCCATACTCGGAATTTGTCCTCTGGATTTAACCCATCCAAGAAGCAGTGATCAGTGAAAAAAGATGTTCTCAGAAAGCAGTCTTTGATGGTCTTGACCTGTTTTTGCTGATAGATGAGATGATTCGCTTACACCTACAGCCACATACTCGGCAATTGCTGCCTCTTTTTTTTGTTTCAGTAAGAGCACATTGGAAAGACAGTGTTATCAAACATTTAGCATTTTTTCACACAATGGCATGCAACAAGGTTTGATCAAAGTCCCTTTTTGAGCCATGTGGTTTTACGTGTGGGGCATGCTCCAAGCTATTCTTTTCTATGTGGGCAATAGGCATGCAAATATACCAGTTCACTTCTTCATATCCAAATCTCCGAAACCAGTTTGTTAAGATTCAATTTCACGTGAGCAACAAAAACATTTTTTTCTTAGCTCAAACTTATTTCTCTTGCCGATTAGCTCAGCCAGTAGAGCAGCCTGAATAGTTTTTTCTTTCTTTGTTTTTTTCCCCATTACCACCTAGTCAAAGCAATTTTCTTATTTTTTGAATTATTTTTAAAATTAGTCTTACAGTAGTCTTATTTAAATAGTCTTATTTATTTTTATTTTTTTTTACATCATTAACGTCTAGGGTTGTTCTGCCCAAATAGACCCGAAGAATTCAAATAAATTTTTTTTTAAAATCACAGCTTTCTCAGAATGGTCCGAAATTTGGTGACTTTGTTGGTATTTGGTATATGAACACCCAAACAAATTGGGGACAGGATGTGAATAGTCTAAGTGGTTGTAAAACCACTTGGTGTTAGGGTCCAGATGGACCCGCATGGAAAATGAATGGGAAATTGGCAAAAATGTGAAAATACTGAGGTTTTTTTGTGCGTACAATCTACAAATCAGCCATGATCCAGAAAAAAAAACAGTGAAGGGGTGAATCTATAAAACATCAAGAGTGCAAAACAGACACATCCACACACACACACACACTTTTATACACAAACACACCAAAAAATTCAGATTATACATGTGTTTTGCATTATTAACCCTCTGGGGTTGTTCGTTTAATAGTCACACTTGGGGTGTTCGGGTCCAAATGGACCCAAAGGGTGGGAATCATATTTAAAAAAAAAAAAATAATAATATTTTTTTCATTTTTTCATTTTTCATTTTATTTTTACATTTTTTCTTTTCTTTTTTGGTGTTTTGAGAAAATTCCAAAAAAAAATATATATATATATATATATATATATATATAATTACGATTAATGCAATAATTATGACCAATTTTTCCCCCATTGAATATAACAGAATATATATATATATATATATATATATATATATATATATTTTTTTTTCTTTAAAGCTGTTCATTTTCATTTTAGAGTCAAGCCTAGGCCGCATAAAAGCAATTTTTGAAATGAGATGGATGCCATCTGGTGGACAAACTGAGCATTTTAAGCAAACTGAAATTGCTTTAAAGCCACAATATGTATTTTTTCTGCTTTAAAAATATTAAAACAGTTTCCACCAACTTTCAAATACGGAGAAATTTATAGTTTAATTCGAAGACATGGGATGTTTCTTTATTTCCGTTTCGTCGCCCTTCTATGGCGTCATATAACCTTTGACTCCTCTATTTTCTCTAACTTCCTGCGGAACCCGGCGAAACCGCCAAACACAAAGGGGAACACTGGACTACCGTCAATAAAGCAAAGAAAATGACGAAGAAAAAAAAGTTTTACGTATTTTTATGTGTGTAAATCACGTGCCCGCTCACGAGCGCTCACTCTTAACAGACACACTGTCCCCGGTGCTGCTCGCGCGTCACAGAATGTTCATAAAGCGCTCCCCGTTCACAGTAACCGGGTCGTCTCATTCAAATCAGCCAGGTGTTGCTGTCAGCGAGCCGCGCACATTGAATACTCGTATGAGTCAGGCTGTGAATGTAATTTACGTGCCCGCTCCAGCACGCTCATGCTTACTAAATAAACGCCTCACCTCCTGCGCCGCGCACTCACTACATTCCCTTTAGCCTTTAGCACATCTAGTGGATGCATAACGCAAACCCAGTCAAACATTTGACTGCAGTATCTTATGTGCCTTATAATCCGGTGCGCCCTATATATGAAAAATGTTCTAAATAGGTCATTCATTGAAGGGGCGTAATATAAATATTTATATTAGTCTGTATTATAGTTATGGACCACGATTACGCTTTGCCTGCACGTTCTGCTGCTACAGCCAGCTCAGTAAAGCTCAAACGTACGGGTGAAAAATATGATCCGAGAAGGGTTTGGGACAAGAGAAGCATGACACAGGTAAACATTGGGGTTGCATTTAAAGCATCGAATGCATCTTGAAAAGCTAAATCTACAGAGAGATGCTGTATATCCGTATATTTTGTGTACGTCTTTTGTTATTATTTTAAATGAGTGACCCCTGGTGGCCAAAAATTGCATACTGTACGTTTAAAAGGGATAGTTCACAAAAAGTTCTTTCATAATTTATTCCAAATCTTCAACAAACAGCAAGGGACAATGTTGGCAAATTTGCAAAAGAACCTTGATTTGTCCAAGCATCGCAAATATACAAGTTATTTAATTGGTGATTTTTAAGAGTTGACCTATAGCTGCTGATCACAATGTCCAAGCTTAATGAAACCTGATGCACAGACAAAAGGACAATCTGAGGACACGCACTAAGTCTCTCACAGTTCTGCCAATAGTGGGCGCTGTAACTAAGATCAATTATGACTTCATAAAGAAGTTCATGAAATTACATGAAAAGCCCATTTTAAATGTAATTCTTTACCCTTAATAGTTTCCATTTAACAAATCTACCTTGTATAGCTCATATTATATATATATATATATATATATACTGTATATATATATAATGATAAAATTGATTAAAATATCTTCTAATTCAAACAATAGTACTGAATGTTAATTAAAAGGTTTAACATAAATATACAGCTTTGGGGCTAATACAGAAAAGGATTTGTCACCTTTGGATTTCAAGCAAGACATCGGGACGGTTAATAACTTACCAGAAGTAGATCTAAGGGATCTCTAGGGGGAGGGATCTGTAATGCAAGCTAGAGCCAGACCATGGCAAGGCTTTAAATACAAACATTAATTAAAAACCGTATAATCAATTCTAATATGGAAATATCTACAGAGAGGATTAGAAATTTGACCTTGGAAAAGTATGCCATTTTAAAATGGAAAATGTGTAGCAACCGTGCATTAGGATATACATTTCAAAACTAAAATGCTAAAACGGCAAAATGAACAAGTTCAATTCATTATACAAATAGTCAAAACGGTATTGTCAATTATGAGATGGTGTCAAAATAAAAATGTCCAAATGTTTGGTCATAATTTTTCTTTTGTGGCAGAAATAGCCTTCCATATGGAAGTCCCATAGGTTTGGAACAACATGAGGATGAGATAATGATGACCATGTTTTTATTTTCGGATGAACTATCCCTTTAAAATGGTTAAAACTGTAGTTATTCAACCAAAACAAAGTCTGAATTGGTTCTCAGACATTTTCTTGCCATTCTTTCTCTTTCAGGATTCCTACCCAATTATCTCCTTCCAGAATATGAGGAAGCGGTACATCGTCCTGCTACGCCCCCTCCCCCATATACTGCCTTAAACACTGGACCTCCAGCCTACACCTGCCCCTTAACCACTGACCAGCAGGATACGCACTGCCCACCCAGACAGATCACTCCAGTGCCCCCTGCATCCGACACGCTCTGTTCCAGACCCAGCCTAGAAGAGATCCATACCTCCAGCGGGTACCACCACAAAGGCGACAGCAAGAGCGAGTTCGAGCGAAGCAGGTCCACGCAAAGTGCCCTTCCCTTAGATCAGCCTCCCAGCGTGGACAAACAGAACGAGTGCAGGAAGGAGATGCTCAGGAATGTGGTGATGCCTGATCATGAGAACGAGAGGATTCTGGCAAGGCACCGCAGATTTACACGGGACTCTGAGAGTGAAGTGTGCGTTTGTGGGCGAGGCTTGAAAAGCCATGAACCCAAAGAATTGGAGAGGCTTTTGAGCGAGGAGGACCAAGGGGACTCTGAGGATTTCTGTGAGGAATGTGGCCTCCATTCCTTCGAAGAGGAAAATCAGGGCCGTCTATCCCCAGAAAACAGAGTGGAGTGTGGAGCATCTCCACTCGCCCAAACTAAACCTCATTTGCCTTTACTGGCATACTATTAATGAACAAGAGGGTCCACACAATAACACACAATCTTAAAGCTGAATACTAATTTAGAAAAAGCTGTATGAGATGGTGAACAAAGAAGTGAGAACAATTAGATGTTATCCGCAGCTGTGTTTTATGTACAAAGCATCTATTTATGCAGTTAAAAGCCCAAAAAGTGCACAAGGATGGGCTCTACTTGCTCCACGAGAGAACGTACCACATGTGCAGCTGTAATTGTGCTCTCAAAATGGTCGGAGCAAGATGCCGTTGTGCCTTTTCTACACAAAAATACAGCAAAATGGCGAACAAAGAATGCACATTTTGCTGTAAACTAAATCATAATTGCACAATACTTTTGTACATGCAACATAGCTAGTTTTAGTTTTTCTCACTGACACGCCCCCAACTCAATTTTGAGCTCAAAGAAAATCCAACTTCCCACTTTGTACTTGCGTGCATATAATAAGCGCAAAAAAGGGGGCGAAAAAGTTCCCTGCACAGAATCTGCTGTGGTCATGTGAATTCGCTGTGTTGGTTTTAAAGTGACTTCACACATCACTACACTATTGACAATGGACCATTTTTTTTTTGCAGTCTTAGGATTGAGAGGCTAAATGCGCAAACACTGGTGTGCTGAACTATCAGTTTGTCAGGACAGTCAGTCAGAGAGAAATGTAAATACTGACAGGCCCCTGTCGACTTTCCCTAATATAATGGGACACATTTTAATGGTGTTTATTAAGTTTTTGTTTTGCACAATCACATTGTTCTGAATGAATTATATTGAATTCATTTTAAACACAAAGTATTTACATACTACAGTCTTAATTCACATATTGTCTGTGTTGCTGCTGTAAGCTCTGATGAATGTGTATTCAGAACAAGTTTGATTCGTAAATCTAAGCTTTCATAGCCAAAGTAGGCTATATCATGGGACAATTATTAGCATTGGAGCCTGAAAGTGCTGCATTGTTTCTTGCCATAATTTTCTGATTGCATGTTGAGGGTTGAACCTGTAGGGATAAAATCCTTGCCGAAAGAAGTTGTCTTGCAGTATAGCTGTTTATCCATTGATGTAAGCTACAAAGTACAATAAACTATTTTCTCAGTGATACCTAATTAAGTAAGCTCCAAAGAAAGAAACATTTTGATATTTTTTAAAATGATAATATAGATCATTCTATTAGTAAAACGTGTCTTGATGAGTTTGATGCTATTGCCAACACACGTGGGTACGTAACGCTGTAATTGGTGTAACATGAATTGCATCTATTCTTTTTGCACTCTGTTACAACCACTCTTAAATGCAATTCACGTGCCAGTTGTCCAGTATCATCTTGGACATCAGCCTAATAGAATAGATATTTTTATGTAAATACTTTAATTCTTGAAAGCTCAAAATCTGTGTCAAGAAATATGGTAACAATTCAAAGTGCCTTGATTTTCTGTTCATATGCAAGCTAATGAGCCATACTTGTGTAATTATAAAGTGATTTATTTTTGTATTTCTGCACCAAAGTAGCTTCAGTTTGACTGAAGCACTCTTAACAAATAATTTATTTCACTGCCCTAATGAATGTTATTAGTATAGAGATGTGCTGCTCTTACTGGTGTCTCTGTGATGACAATCTAATGTTGAAGCTGTGCTTGGAGACAAATACATATCAATCTCTTTTTCTGAAAATATTAATAAGCTGCTGATTTTCAAAAAGTTATAAATACTCTGAAGCATTGTGCAAACATGATATAATTTTGTACAGCCTACAATTCTTAGCATTGGTTTGAGTTCTGGCACAATTTATCTTGTATCGGTCTGTCTTTTGTTATGCAAAACACATAATCGAGACACTGTCTAATAAACACAAATCAACACAACGTGTGTCATTGTTTTCGTTTCCAGTTGATATTATTTGTAGGGATTTTGATTCATTCCTGTGCCATCTTTGAATCAGTTCATGAACCAGATCGGTTCAGTGACCCTTTCTGTGGTGTGGCGTGAGTGGTCACTGCAGTGGAGAGCTATTTAAAAAGCATTTTCTTGAATTTGCAAGGGTTTTGATGGGAAAGTTGCACATCAATCTCTTCAGTGGACCCTGGTGCATCATCCTATGCATTGCAACAAAGTTATAAGCCATTGAGTTTTGATTTTTTTCCCCTCTCCAAACCAAGATGGCCAATGGCCAGTCAGACATGCCAAGGTGCCCCGGAATATCCACCCATTCCTTCTATCCTAGGACACTCTTGTAGGTAAAAAAAATATTGCAGCATCAAACAGTATCTAATGAGTCATATCACAGTCAAATTTTCCAAGTTTTGATTTTAGATTGGGAGAAAAATCTGATAAATCACCCGTCCACTATAGTGGACCTCATGCATCAATGGCTATATTTTAGCTACAATTTATACTTATACTGTGAATATTGTTTTTGAAAATACTTAATCTGCAGTAACTTTTTTTGACTGTAAATAAATGTAGTTGTATTATTAGAATGTAATTTTCATTGACGTCTAAAAAAGTTATGTAATTACATAATTTGTGACTTGTAATGCATTACTTTACTCATTTCATCAAAAAGTAATCTAATTACATAATGCATTACTTCTTAGATCAAAAAATATCCGTTTACCTATGTTTCTTTACTCGTAACATCAAAAAGTAATCTGATTACACAATGCATGTTACTTGTAGTGCATTACTTGTTAGATCAAAATAATGCATGTTACTTGTAATGCATTGTTAGATCAAAAAGTAATCTGATTAAATAATGCATGTTACTTGTAGTGCATTACTTGTTAGATCAAAAAGTAATCTGATTGTGCATGTTACTTGTAATGCGTTTCTTTATTCGTAACAACAAAATGTAATCTGATTACGTAATGCACATTACTTGTAATTAATTGTTAGATCAAAAAGTAATCTGAGTAGGTAATGCATATTACTTGTAATACATTACTTTACTCGAAACATTAAAACAAATCTGATTATGTAATGCATGTTACTTCTAACACATTACTTTCCTTGTAACATCAACCAAATAATCTGAATGCGTTATGCCTGGCCCAACACTGCTCATTTCAGATGAGATTTAAAAAAAATTATCACTAGGTTTTCTCAGAAGAGGGGCTATAGAAATGTGTCCATCTCTAACATAATCAGAATTATCAGCTAATAAGGGTAAATTGACATACTCTGGCACACTGGAGGGAGCATCTGAGTGTTTCCACAGTTGTACATTGACAGGCTGTAGACATTTCTGATGGAATCACATCATCATGCTCTGATATCCAAGATACACGAAGTGCAACTTGTATGCAGGTCTATTGCCTTTGCAATATTTCGTATTTATATATATTTTTTCATATATTTTATAGTTTTCACATGATTTGATGTAATTGTATTGATTAGTTTGTTAAATACACATAATTTATCTGTTTGATTATTGTATTATGTTTAATACAGTATCTCTTCAGTTTAAACTATAAATGCATGCTGTCCACTCAAGTGGACATCTGAAAATCTCTTTGAAAAATTTGTTAAAAAAAAAAATCAAATCAAATCTTGTTTTTCATGCCCTAAGGGCAATAAAAACACAAAGGAAAAAAATCCTGACTGAGGTTATCATAATTCATGCACGAAAGGGTTAAAAAAAATCCAGTGTTCAGCGAGTCACAAAAATGGTTCATTCATTCAACCAACACATTTATGACCAAAACATGTCTTATCCTGAAAATAACCTTTTCACCTTTCTAATGAAATCGAAAGTGTTTGAGCGGTTTCTTATTGTTTTACAATACGCCTTCATTCGTTTGCCTGACCATAGATGACATACAATCTCATCTCAGTACTTTTGATTAATGGCTAGGCTATTTTTAATTTAGTCATTTCATCTGAATATCAACATTTGTGATATTTAGTCAGCCAAAACAGTTTAGAATTTAATTGATCTAATATTGTGTGTCTGGAAAATAGCTATCTGCATAGCATTGTGTGTATATTTGTTAATGAGGGATTTGTGGAGTAAAAGTTATTGTAAAAACTATAGGTTAATTGAGTGATATCATTCAATTATATATCTTCAAATTAAATAAGCAAATATTTATATGACTACATTAGACAGAGCGATTTTACCTTTCAGATTAATCTCTTTTTTTACTGGGGTTCTGCTTTTGTCTGTCATCTGTTATTCAGTTATTCAAATACATTTTCAGAATTTTAAATTCAATAGTTGATTTAGTAGGCTATTTGTGTGACACTTAATACTTAATACTGAAAATATTAAACATTTTAAAATATTAATAAGTATATCAAAAGTAATGTATACACACATTATGTAAAACCTTCTTACTCCTCTTTTAATGTTGTGCTATAACCGCAAATTAGCGAATGTTTCTATTTATTTCCACACAGATGCATCATCCTCCAGCAAAAGCTAAACTGAGCTATATCTAAACTTGTTTCTGTTTTAAAGTAAATCCACATTGTTCTTAAGGCAATCCCCATCTATTATTGTAATTATCATTGGTCGTAAATCAAGGGCACACACATAAATATCAGCTTGACAGTAGGAAATGGTTCCTCTCCCCGAACAATAAAAAGTATATTTTGTAAATTATATAAATATATTTTATTACATGAATTCCTGAAGGCTCCATGTTCGTGATAAATTATGATTTTAACAGCTGTTTAAAAATGGCACAATTGTTGTCAAAGAGCGCTCTCTACAGGTCATGTATTAGCCTATGCCTAATAATAGGATAGCCTACAATGAGGCAAACTTTACACATGTTGATGGGAGAAGGTATTCTTCTTTTGAGTTTTACCATTTTAACAATATTAATAAATACATTAATATAAATAATTTGATTAACCCACTATGGGGCTAATTTAGCCCCATAGTGGGTTAATCAAATTATTTATACTAATTATGAAATCACAGAAAAGGTCATTTTCCATTTGAACCGTAAATCGTTTTCCTGTGCCCTGATACCGGAGATCCATTTACAGTAAACAGTAATAATAGTATCGAACAGTAATAATAATCAACCTCTATGAATTTCAATTTTAACCATCATAGTCTGAAGGCTATAAAATGTAGAATGTAGCCTAGTAAAAATTTTAATCTGGAAATATTTTAATCTGTTTTTTTTGGGTCATCTACTTAAAAAGTGTCCTTGTAACTGCAATGTTACAATAACGTTAATTTTATACATTTTTCTTTAGTAGCCTAAATTCAATAAAAAATTATATATTTTAATAGGTTTTTTTTTTTCAAATTTGATGCAGTTTTGTAAATATACTGATAGCTATAAATAAATATAGCCTACGAAATAGGAATTTCATGTTCATTTACAGTAACCTTATTCTATAGCTACACAAAACAAACATAACACTTTTTATCCAACATGACATCATGACTTTTGCGTAAACATACACACAACTTTCAAGTCAACTGGCGTGTACGCATTCTGAGCTATCCTCGTGTATGTGTGTGTATGTGTGTATGTCTACGCCGTTAAATGTCCGAGTGATTCCGCGTGTGTGTACACGCCGTTAAATGTCCGAGCGATTCCGCGTGTATGCACACGCCGTTAAATATCCGAGCAAAACGAAGCAATTCTCATCCCAAGACAACTGACACTTTTGACCATACGTCAGCATCGGACGTTTTAGGGTACCCTTTAATGTCAGTTTGATGACGATCCTAGGGCGTCATTTAACTGACACTTTACCGTCATTTATCAGCTTAAATGTAAAAATTTATATATTTAAATTTTTTCAAATGAATATGTGAAAAATAAAATAAAACAGAGCAGTGCTGCGGTAATGAGATTTTGTCGTTAAGGACAATGTCGGTGTATGAATGATTGAGTTAATGGATGTATATACATACTTAACTACTACTGAATATTTGTCATTTAATAGTCTATACAGTAAACCTTGAATTTGTCTCTACAGCAACACAAGGTCTTTACCGCAACACCTAAATTTACTGCAGTAAAATGTTGCGTAAATTACATTCTTGCTAATGTTTTAGCTAACTGGCAGTTGGCAAGGCCTTGAGTATATAGTATACTGTATATAAATATATATATATATATATATATATATATATATATATATATATATATATATACATACTTAACTACTACTGAATATTTGTCATTTAATAGTCTATACAGTAAACCTTGAATTTGTCTCTACAGCAACACAAGGTCTTTACCGCAACACCTAAATTTACTGCAGTAAAATGCTGCGTAAATTACAATTTTGCTAATATTTTAGCTAACTGGCAGTTAGCAAGGCCTTCCACATTAGTTTTGACTTAGCATCTTAATATGCATTTAACAGTAATAGGCCTATACATTTATTTTTAAAATGTAGTTCAAAATACACAATTATTAAGCTGAATGGTTAGGACACACAATAAATACTAGAGCAGAAAACATGATGTTTATCTTACTTTTTTTTGGATCTTGTGGGTGAGGTAGTGTGGTGGCCCAGTCTATCAATGTGCTCACTGCTCAAGTGTTAATTTCTGTTTGTTTGTGTTTGATAAAATTTCATAATAAAAGCTTTTTTTCCATTATTGTGATAAGGACTCGAAAGTGTGGGACAGGCACATTTAGTAAAAAAAAAATCATCAAAATGATCAGTAATACAAAGAATTTTAGGATGCTGTAAATTAATCTGTATATTAAACAATTCCCTTTGAAATAATTTTAAATTGTAATTAGCTTGTATATCTCAACATTGAGACCAGGTACGTGCATGGGACCTTAACAAAAATGGTGTTTTGAGCTATAAATGCTTCATAATATTATATTTAATCACATTAATAATTGTATTTTTTGTCAAGGTGTGTGATGGTAGGCTATGTGAATATAATTATGAATCATCAAACGACAAATTTTAACATAAATCTAAAATTTCAGTGCTGGGACTTAAAAGTGCCCGTAGTTGCAGAAACACCCTTTTATACTTTGCAAAATACATAATGGTTATAACACTGACCTCCATTTACTCCCTGAATGAGGCATTTTTCATTAATATTTCCATGCTTTTTTCCCATGATTTTAATGCTGCAGTGGATAAAATAATGCATTGGATAAATCTCACCCGGATACAACAGCTAATCCATTTTCTAAGTTACTGAATAAATGTATCACTGAACTTAAAGGGATACTCAACTTTTTTTTGGAAATAGGCTCATTTTACCACTCCCCCAGAGTTAAACAGTTGGGTTTTACCGTTTTCAAATCCATTCAGTCAATGAGACCAGAAACTGTCTGGTTACTGATAGTCTTCTAAAAATCAGAAAATCGGCTGAATACATTCGAAAACGGTAAAACTCAACTGTTTAACTCTGGGGGAGTGGTAAAATGAGCTTATTTAAAAAAAAAAAAAAAAGTGGTGTATCCCTTTAATATAATCGATCTTTGGAGAATTAAAAACACTACATCTAAGGACTTTACTTTTTTTTTCTTTTTTTCTAACAGACACAAGACTTTCACTGGGATAGATTGCATATTTCTCAGCCCATCTCTAATTTCATCTAACTCCTCTATTTCTATATTATTGTCTGATCAGTGGTTTTAACACATCAATACTACTTAATCAGATGCTCATTAATTCCCTAAAAGATCATAAAAGATAAAGCACTAAATGTACTAAACAAGGATTCTGTATATATTTTTCTTGCCAAAGCAAAAAAACTGTCAGTTTACACATTTAGAAAGTAAGATCCAATTAAGTTTTTCTGATCAACAAACACGACTGTTCTCCTTATAAGAAGAGTATGATTTACTTTCACAATCAAAGGCAGAGTTTATATTACATATAGCTAGACAAAAATAGTAGGCTATTTTGAATCTGAAAGGACCTTGCCGCTTGGCCCTCAGGTTGAGGGAATGTGAAGGCATTTATCAGTGCAATAAAATCTTCAGTAATGCACAACAGCCCTTTGCCCTAATGCATTTTCATTTTAATTTTGCCACTTATAAAGCATTTCAATATGCATATTAAAACTAGTATATGAAATGGCAAATGTAAATTATGTAATTTCATTTTCATTTTGCACCAAAAGTTGCTAGAATGGTAATGTAAAATGTAAATTTTAACACCAAATGCAATGCCATTTTACATATTGGATTGTCATTTTGCATATTACATTTAATATTGACACACACATAGCAATCCACAGATGCACACAAGAGTGACATTGATGCATGGCAATGTTTTTCTTCCAACATATTGAATTATATAAAAGAAATACTATATAAAAATGTTTTTCTTTTTCTTTTTTTTTTCTTTCATATTGTTAATTATTGATATAGGCATATGTCTGTTGCCCCCTCTTCCCTTTCTGTTTGTTTGAGTGGATGTGATAAAAAGTTGATCACACTAAAAAAGTAATTTTCCCAAATTTTCCAGTTTTCTAAATATGATCTGACATTTTTTTAGGGTGCCATCATTTATAACTGACTTTGTCCTATTAAATTGTTTTTTTCAAATTCCCTTAAACTTCACACTCATTCAAATGCATTTTCACCGGCTGAAAAGTGGTTAAAAACGTTCCATTCCATTTAATCTTTTGTTACTATACTATATTTGGAACTCACATGTAAAATTGTCAAAACTAAATTCAAAGGCAACTTAGCTGTCTTGAATTATCAATAAATAATTTTTGTCAAAACAGGAATTATCAAAATACTTTTGTGTCATATTTGACATTAACATGAATAAATGTAAATAGAATTTAAAATTTCTATTTTGTAATATTATGAATAATTAAGTAAACCCAAGCTGCTTGTTCATCTTACATTTACTTTATGATTGCTGAGAAAAAAATACTTTACTTGATTTAAAAGGATGAACTATCAACCAGAGGAGTGCATGAAGTAGATTATAATTTTTCTGCAAAGTTTTGCTCACATTGGATAATTTATAGGCTCCCATTAGTATATTAAATATGATACAGTAGAGTAGGCTAATCTATTCATAAATAAGCATTATACTTGCTCAACATCATTTTAAAGAATATTTAGTTTAAGTTATGAGGGAATAAATGGTTTAAAAATGTGGCCAAAATGTAACACGACGTAGGCTATCCTGGGGGATACAAATAAATATTAATAACATGTCCTAAATTTTCTCATTGTTTTTTATACCCCTTTATTGGGACCGGGTTAATAGAATGCGTTGTTAATACTGACTTTAGTGTAAATAAACCCATACATTTTATTAATAATTTACTCGGGCATTGCATTGTCATCATGATCGTTCATCTCTCTCTTGCTGCATGACTTGCAGGCTCAAAGTCCATGAGCCACACGGCCATAGATATCATATAGAGACTAGACACCCTATTGGCCGCTGGAAAACGAGAAATTCGACCGCCATCTTGAACCGGTCGTATTCCGAGTCTCGTTGCGTGGCAGCAGATGAGATGCCAGAGCACTGTGGAGCATTTTCCTGTTCTAATCGCCGGACCACCGAAAATAGGGCTTTTCACAAGTAAGTCTTAACATTTCCGTACTATTGGTTGAATTTTGTGAATAGAATATTACCAGATAATCGAGAAGGAGCAAGGATATTTGCTATTACTGTAGGCCTACTGAAATCGTTGTGAAATATGCTAACTGCATCAGCCGGTGTTCACCCGGCGTGGAGAGGTGGGGTAACTGTTAAAGTAATAATTACAAGAGCTTCTAGGTTGTTAGATAAGCATTCAGCTGCCCTGTTCTATAGGTTATTTGTGTTTGCGCACATCAGGAAGCAACGTAATATACACGCATGACAGCGATGCGCAAATTGAGTTGCCTCTCAAACTTCTAGTTTTATTCATAACCTATATCTTACCACATGCGATTTGGCTATTGATATTACAGAAGTCCTGTGGTAAAATTACATTAATTTACCCCATCTACCCTTGTAAAGTTAATCTGAATAGGGCTTTAGTCTCGACATTTTCCCCTCCTACATCCACATACAATAAAAAAGGTATAGGCTTAATGTTGTCCGAATTTAATTTTTAGAAATGAACGTACTGATGCAAACACGTTGAAAAGCTTCTTCTCAATTTTTATTACAGGTGGCTGCGTTCGGTGGATTCGGTGGCTGCGTTCTGTGTGTGTGTGTGTGTGTGTTCGTGTGTGCGTGTGTCAATCATAAACTGTTTCTTCAACTTATTAAAATATCTTACTTTACTGCTACTATCTGTTTATTTATTATATTTATAGTGTGTGAATTATAAAATACATTATATCCTTCATCACATATTGTTTCTGGTCACTTTATATCTTATATCAGAATATTATATTAGTCTTAACCTACAATGGATATTAAAATAGGCCAAACCATGTGTCCTGTATCATAGCTACATGAATGACCTTTGCAGTAAAAAAACCCGCGTGAAAATCAGTTCAGTATTCAGTGAGATGTGATTAATTTAATGCGCTGACAGCTCATTTCACCTGCCATTCAGATCACACTGAGCGGAGCGGATGACCGGTTTAAGATGGCGGCTCCAATTCTCGTCCGTGCCAATAGGCAGTAGCGGTCGATAGGGCGTCTACCTATATGATGTCTATACACACGGCCACACAGATAGCGGCATACTGCTCACTGATTGGCTGAACCTCTCGAACTACCGAAACCCAGAAAGACCAAAACAGATTTCGCACATAATCATGGCAGACGCACCTACAGCAGCCAAGTAAGTTTCTCAGTAATAATAGGTTACTCGAATGTTTTACATGTGATTTGCAGTATCAATCAAGCTGGCAAAGTAGACTATAGACCTTCATTTTATAGTAACAATAACAAAATAGATATTACATTGCAAAGTCTTCGCGAGTCGTCCAGTTTTGCTGTAGCATAACGTTAAGCATGTTCGGTTACAAAGTGAATTATAGTGTCAGTAAAGTTTCTTATTATTGTTCACAGTAACAAGGCTGTTACAAGTGTCTACAATGAGGTTAAGGTATGTATTTCTTCAAACGTTAAAAGACGAAACTTATTGTTGACTTTAAAGGGCTGTTGTTAAACTAGAACATAAAATAAAAATAGCATGAAGTAAGAGAGGGAGAGGGGAGGCCATCGTCAGTCCTGGAGAGCCACACTAGTCCTGCAGATTTTTTCCTCCAACTTTGATAAAAGCTCTTCAGACCCCTTCATGAGCTTGCTCGGGTGTGTTTGATGAGGGCAGGACTGTGGCTCACTAGGACCGAATTTTGACACACACACACACACACACACACACACACACACACACACACACACACACACACACACACACACACACACACACACATATATAAATGTATGTATGGATATATATTTTGCATTTCACATTGCAGCCAATTGACACCTACTCTCCATTATTACAGGAATACTATGGAAAGACACTTAAGAAGACATCTGACCTGAAAAGCAATGCATGTGTACCGTCTGCCAAGTCTGTCCCTGCATATGTGAGAAAAGCGATAGCTGGGATCCATCCAGATGTCGTTGCAAAGTGAGTGATATATGAACATACAACATTTTTTTCTGACATCTTTTGCCATCCTAACATTCATAAATGAACTTACAGTGTCCTGCACCCACTAGTAAAAAAAAATATGGTGTCTGAAATTTTTTTGTTTGACTATATATGATATATTCTATTGTACGTTTGAATATATTAGTATTCAGGGTCACATTATCTGTCAGAAATCATTCTGACATGCTGATTTGATGCTTAACCTCAGTGTATGGACTCAGTGTTTTTTTCCACTGGACTTTTCCTTCTTTTTTTTTCTTTTTTTTAAAAAGTGTTACCTTCATCTCAGGGCCACTAACACGTACAAACAAATCTGGGCTTGATTTGGTTGTTTAAGGGTGTGTAACTTTTTTTTTTTTTTTTACATTTAAGGTGCTTGGGGTCAGATTGACCCCTATTTTTGAAATAAATAATAAATAATGAAGCTAATATATGGCGTAGTTAATTAATTGTGAGTATATGGGTGAAAAAACAAAACAAACAAACAAACAAAAAAAAACTACCAAATACAAAACTACCAAATACCAACTACCAAATGCCCACAAAAACACCGCATAAATGCATAGTTGAGAAGTAAAAAAAAAAAAAAAAAAAAAAAAAAACTATATATATATATATATATATATATATATATATATCATGTGGTCCATCTGACCCCAAACACCAAAAATGTAAACCCTGTTTGAGCACTGTCTTCTTAAAATCAATGTTTAAAAGTTTTGTGCAAACCCTGATACCTTTCTTTTCAGGATTATGGGATGATTAGACAGCATTTATTTGAAATGTAAATCTTTTGTAACATTTGTCTTGTAAAACAGTCTTAATATAAGTAGTAATTTCTTTAAAATGGGTGTTGTAGACTGTTAACACCCATTGATTAACTGGAAACATTATTAGCATATTCCAGATTTTGAATGTTTGCTACACAAAGCATTTTAATTTATTTTTAATTAATACTTTCTTGGAAGGCTGTCGCCATATTAATAAAAAAAAAAGATATATGGAAAAATTAAGTGGGCTTAATAGGGACACTTGATACAATGAAATGTATCATATTTTAATAAAGCCAACCTTTAGATTTCTTTTTCTTTTTTTTTTTTTTTTTTTTTTTTTCATTTGACTGCTTATACCATGTCTCATAACAGTGATACTGTGATGTTTCGATGCTTAGTCCTGGGTGGCAGCGTAACTTGTTTCCATCCTCTCAGGTACTATGGCTGTGGTCTGGTGGTCCCCGAGTGTCTGGAGGGCTCCAGGGTGCTTGATCTCGGCTGTGGGAGTGGACGGGATTGCTACATGCTCAGCCAGCTCGTTGGAAAGAAGGGACATGTCACAGGCATCGACATGACTGAAGATCAGGTCAGTTTCCTTGAACTGCAGATTACGATTACAGGGTTTTGAATAATAATGTGCACAGTTAGGAAATAAGTAATTTTGTGCTTGTTTCATATTTCAGTTCCTTTCAGGTTAAAAGACCAAACCTTTTTAGTCTTCTCCGAACCGGTTATGAGATCAAAGGTCTGTTCGCACCAAGGACGATATAACTATAAAGATGAACGTGCAGTTTTAAAAATCGTTCTAAATAAAAGCATAAATAAACAAAAGCATTGCAGAGTCCACACTACTACAACTATAATGAGAATAGCACAGAGGCACAGTAACTAGAGAGGAAGTCAATGTCAAAAACACTGACAGCCGATCAGAATCCACCCTGCTTTAATTTAAAGAGATCGGTCATTTAAAGTAGATGACAAAAGTGTAGTGAGTGCTTATAATAAACGATTGTTGTGGACGCTAACAGTCATTGTTATATTTATTAACTTAAAGGTATAGCGGAGGATTTTCTTTTTCCGGGTGGGTAGTCTATACTATTGGTCCACCTAAGTGTCAATCATTCTGGTGATATGTTTACGTAAGGCCGTCGTAGGCTACGTGCTCATCCCTACGGAGTTTTCACTTTCAGGTGTATTATGTCGGAGTTACGGTTTCAGCCATTCCTTTGAAAATGGCTGAGGGTCGAAAGAGAAAAAAATGTTTACTAAGTGTATGATAAGAAGAGAAAGGCCGCAGAATATAGAAACAAGACCAGAGTGATTTTGGGTGAATATCACACGCTGGCGTGCGCTAAAAGCACAGTTTGGGCTTCTCACTGATGCCGCAGTCGCGAAGATTCTACCAGACAGGTAAAGTTTGTCACGCTATTTGGAGAAATCCATTTAAAATCACTAGTAAAAGTTAATGCAAGCTACAATGCTAGCCCTGGCACGAGTCATGCACCGCATAGACACGGTAAACATCTCAATTTGTCTAAAGTAGCCTTTTGTCCAAAATGGTAAATGGTATCACGCTGAAATATTCTAAAATCTTGTGTGTTTATTATTACACAAATGCAACAAGCTACTTCTCCATATGCAACTATGTATAAAAATAACGTATTAACAATGAGAGATATTAGGTTAAGGACCAACGTAATAGCACTGCTTATGTTGCTATGTAACGTAATTGCGATTTGCAAAATAGTTTCCTCAGAACGTATTTCGTGTGATACAGGGTTGCACAACATATCATGTCTTGAGTCCTCGGTCACTCAATCGATCAGTATAATAAGTAAATAAAACACGGAAGGGCATTTGACATGTTGTCTTTTTTATGAATGTTTTTTAGTTAGTTCAGAATTTGCAACATAATTGTGCAAGGCGTATAGACGTTCCCTCTCGGGAACAAGAGTGTTGTGTTTGTGCATGTGCATTTTTTTAAAAAATTGGAGAGGGCGGGTCTTCTCTAAAATTCGGAAAGATCCTCCGCTATACCTTTAATTGTTGTTAATAATTAAAAGTTGTGTGGTTTGAACGACAGCTCTTGACCTGTGGTTAAAGTCATCGTTTCTATATTGCATCACATTTGGACGTAATAAATCCTTATCTTGAGCAAAATAAGCAAGCTGACATTCAGTACAACCGGTGCCTTTTATTTCGAATAAATACAAATGGAATTTACGTCTTTTAGTTTGTCAAAAGATTTAAAGTACCGTGTTTGAAGAGTGCGCATGTGCGAACGTGCTCTACTATGTAAGAACGAGCCAAATATTGAGTCTGGTAATAAAGCAAAATAACTGAGAACAATTAGAAATAGTCCTCAGATGACATGTCTGTAATTCATATATAAAAAATCTATAGCGTTAATTGGATCTCAAACAGTTTCATTAAAAGTAGTTAAACTGCAACACGTGCGAAACCAACGTGGTTGAACGGTACTTTGCGACAATGGGTTTCGAGGAAACAGTCGTGACTAGCTAGTTGATTATTCCAACGATGCATTATACTATGGAAGTGAATCAGCGAACTACATAGTTGTATGGGAAACGCACCCCTGCGTAAACTCCTTGCGTATTTCTGAAAGAGGGACTTCATAGAGCCATTGGCCTGTTTTTGGACAGTTAAAACAGCGGTATACGCCTTATTCACGGCAGTGCCATCTTTGATTTTTAATGAGAATGAAAGCGAGGCTGTGAGGGATAGACTTGCATCTCTTCAATGGGCTGTACTGTTATTTAATGTGTTTTCGGATTGTTCTGCTCATGAAACACTGGAAAAATATCTTTCCAAGAAATTACAGTTGACAAAAAACTCCCGACAATGTAAGTTGTGGAAAATTGTAAGTAATCTTGGAGCTTTATTCAGCTTTTTACAGGGGATGCCATTGGAAACACGGTAAGACTATCCCTCACAGCCTCACTTTCATACCTGTCATGGCGCTGCTCTGAATAAGGTCTATACAGATTAGTAAATTGTGTGAAAAATACTGTGTTTTTTCACACGCGAAACATGAACACATGGCATATTGTAGCCTGGAAAAACCCAGCAAATTTAGATTTGCTCTGAAAGTTAATCTGGCAAAGAGCTCATTCAAGGCCATTTCCAATCCATCGAAATTGCGGCACCAATCAGAAACGTTGGGGCGGGCTTTACACGATGACGACAGCGCTGGGATTTTGAAGCAGATTTTGTAGCCTACATTACAAAGATGGATGCCGCCGTCGAACATCACTTGTTCGAATCAGCTATCGCGTCTGTTTTAAGCGATTTGAACGTTTTCGTTTTTGTTAAAAACCAAGCAAAAAAACAACACTCAGAGATGTTTCTCCGCCGGCTGCCGCTCTGCGTACGTCATCTCCTTCATCGCTCTGATTGGTTTTAGGTCGACCCGCTACGTCCGTTGGTGACGCCCCTCTGGAAATGATTTGTCTATGACGCTTTGCCAGAACATAACTCGGTTACAACTGAGAATGGTCTGGTTTTAACCAGGCTAGTTATATTGCAGACTGTAAACACAATCAAAGCTTCAAAAAACATGAAGAACGGGACCTTTAAGACAAACCATGTGCAAGTTTATAAGTCTGCAGTGAACCAAAGACAGTGTCAAAAAGTGTTTGAAACCGCTGTTGTCTCTTACGTCACAAACTACCTTGTCACCAATCACGACAACGTGATCGCCAACGAGTGGATTTCTGAGCTGAGGGAGTGAGTGGAGATGGGCTTATTTGCATATTCATAGAACGCGTATACTAAATGAGAAAAGGGTGTAGAGTTACATTCAAGCTATTTTAAAGGACAACTCCGGCGCAAAATGAACCTTTGGTCTAATTACACATTGTTACCTAGTCAACCGTTATCTGAGATTTGTTTTCATGATTGCTGAATGTAAATAGTTTTATCACTAAAAACAGTTTAGCCTATAACGCTAGTATAATGCTAGTATATAGGGCATAGAGTAATGACAAATAAAAATCGCTTGTTATTACCACTAACAAGGCTCAAAATAGCCCCACACTAACACGAAAGCATAATAAGGGTCCCTGCATTCAAACCGAAGCATTGAGAACTTTGTCAGTGTCCAAACAGTTTAATAAGAAGATATTTTATACACACAGTCAACTACGCGAATACAGGAAGAAGCCATCTTTGAAAAATAGTCTCTACCAGTCGATCTACGAACGCCGATCCAAATGCGCTGAACTGTGCAGAATCTCATATGGTGAGATTCTCATAATCTCATAAACCACGAACCGTTTTCTTCTATTTTTCAAAGATGGCTTCTTCCTGTATTCGCGAAGTTGACTGTGTGTATAAAATATCTTCTTATTAAACTGTTTGGACACTGACAAAGTTCTCAATGGGCTTTATGCACAGCTGCACTACTTCCTGAACTTCAGCCAGCTCCTTGTTTCCTGTCTTCCATTATTGGGCAAAATTGATGAATTCAGGTGTGTCTGATTATTGTTGCCATGACTACTGAGGTCAAGCACACCTGAATTAATCAATGTGTCCAATAATGGCAGACAGGAAACAAGGAGCTGGCTGAAATTCAGGAAGTAGTGAAGCTGTGCATAAAGCCAATTCTTCTGTTTGAATGCAGGGACCCTTATTATGCTACCGTGTTTGTGTGGGGCTATTTTGAGCCTTGTTAGTGGTAATAACAAGTGATTTTTATTTGTCATTACTCTATGCCCTATATACTAGCGTTATAGGCTAAACTGTTTTTAGAGATAAAACTATTTACATTCGGCAATCATGAAAACAAATCTCAGATAACGGTTGACTAGGTAACAATGTTTAATTAGACCAAAGGTTCATTTTGAGCCGGAGTTGTCCTTTAAGGCATGAATCTTTTTTTTTTCAAGGAAAAATGGTTTACAGTAAATGTCATTTTGGTATCAGGTGAGCTTTAAGGGATAAAATGATTTTAAGATATATCAGTGCAAGTTGCTTTCAGTTAAAACAGCTCAAAAATGCATTTTAGCCTGGGACTAGCTTAAGCTTAAGCCTTGTCTGTGAAACCGGGGGTGACGGTCTTAATTTAAAAAAAAAAGTTATTTATTTAACACAGATGTACTGGCAAAAACAGTATGTGAACTACACTTTTCTTTTTCTATTTTTCAGCTTGAGGTGGCCCAGAAATATGTTGACTACCACATGCAAAGATTTGGTTACAAAAAGCCAAATGTGAATTTTGTTTGTGGTTACATTGAGGCTTTGGCTGAAGCAGGTCTAGAGGAGAAATCATATGATATCATCATGTAAGCTTTCAAAGTTTCAAAATAGTAGCCTTAGAGTCACCATAAAATGGAAGTTGCGGTTGTATTTTCATTCCTATTGTGGAGAACATCCGACTCCGAGTGGCACATGAGGGCATATGAATTAATGTTCATTATAAATACGAAACCAAACCGAGATTTCATGGTGACTTCAACATGAAGATATAATTTTCTTTTCTAATTTGAGATTATTCTACTTAACAGGTTTCAGTCTGTTGAGTTCCCACTACTAGCTTGCATAAACATTCTTCATTCTTTTTCTTCAAAAGATCAAACTGTGTGGTGAACCTGTCCCCAGATAAAACCAGTGTCCTGAGGGAGGCTTACCGTGTACTAAAGGTAACTCTATTTCACACTCGCACCAATGTTTGGAGTCATTTCAGAATTCAATTTTTCAATTTAATTTTTCAGTTTTATTTTTTCCTCATCCATGACACTCGGATACTATACTAATTATAACAGTTATACGAAGCATTAGTTTGAGTATTTGAAATAACACTTTTTGTATTTGGCTCATTAACAAACAGAAATTATTTAGATTTCCTTTGTTTTTAGGATGGAGGAGAATTGTACTTTAGTGATGTTTATAGTGATGCTAGAATACCAGAAGACCTCAAGGACAACAGCGTGTTATGGGGTAAGAAAAGACATTGATCCAAACTAGCCTATTTTCTTTTTCTAAATGTTACAAGGTAAGTTTAACTTTAACTGTGTTAAACAAAACAAATAAAACCTGACGCTGATATGGGCTTATTTGCAAATGTTGATCAGGTGAGTGCCTGAGTGGAGCATTGTGGTGGGAAGACCTGATACGACTGGCTGAAGAGGTTGGATTTTGCAAACCCAGACTGGTTACTGCTAGTATCATCACTGTGGGCAACAAGGAACTAGAGAAACTTCTTGGTGAGACATAAAAATCGTGAAATGTGCCACCTGGTATTTGTAATCAAAAATAACCATGCTGCCTTTTTTGTCTCCCAGTGTTTTGTAATGTTTCTTAAAATGTATTAAATATAAATAAATAAATAAATATTACCATGCTGATCTTCTGTCCAACAGCACTCTTAGTCGTGTGATATTGATTACTCTTATACCACAGTTACCACGCATGCACTGCATGTGTTAATACCAAGACATTTTTATTATTTTCATGCGACAAACATTCTTGTGTGTAGAACTATTTAGTTCTACTATTAAGAGAGATGCGCAACTGCTGTACATTTCTTTATCTTAAAATGATCTATAAAGTGTGTTTATATATATATATATATATATATATATATATATATATATATATATATATATATATATATATATATATATACACACACAGTGAGCAAAATAAGTATTTGAACAGCCTGCTATTTTGCAAGTTCTCTCACTTAGAATTTATGGAGGGGTCTGAAATTGTCATCTTAGGTGCATGTCCATAGCCTGACTTCGTCATACTCATATTCAAGAGAGAATATGAGTCTGAAACTCCTCCATTGGGCTTTGATTACAAGGCGTGTCGTAACCGAACCAGGAAAAAAAAAACCCTCTGCACTCAATTGGATAGTCGGTAGACCTACAACCAATCAGAGCAACGCATAAGTCAACTCTTTTGCATAGCGCAGTTTTCAAATACAGAACGTAGCCTAACTTTATTTATTTTAGAAGTTAAATAACGAGTGTTGCTTCTTTTAATTACTTCCTCATGAGTGCCACCAAAGGAGAAACCACAACGACCACAGGCTTTTCATTACGTCCCATCTTCTTAACGACCGTCAGAGCCAGCTGATAAGTTACACTTTTCCTGAATCATGTAGGAAGGACGCCAAAAATATTTTTCCGATCAACAAATGCCTTGATTGCAGTTCTCTGTTTGTCTATTAAAATGAATGCGCTGTCGATTTATTTTACAAAAGACGCGACAGCGGAATCTATACATCTCAATTCTCCAGCTGCAGTCAGCTTTGACAAGCGCTCTTTGATAACGTGATGATTACATCCTTGCAGATCATCTGTCCATCATCGTATAAAGCCCGCCCTGGCAATCTGATTGGCCTGATCATTTTTTTTCCTTGATCATAGTTACTCCTCAATGGATCGAGTCCAGACCGAACTTCGACCAAAAAATGTTGTGGGCGGAGTTCGGGCTGGCATCCAGGCTAGCATGTCCACTGTGAGAGACATAATCTAAAAAATACGAAAAATCAGAAACCACTATTTATCACTAATTAACTATTTATTTGTATGATACAGCTGCAAATAAGTTTGAAAACCTGAGAAAATCAATGTTAATATTTGGTACAGTAGCTTCTGTTTGCAATAACAGAGGTCAGACGTTTCCTGTAGTTTTTCACCAGGAGTTTGAGCTCCCCCCAAAGATTCTCTATTGGGTTTAGGTCTGGAGACTGGATAGGCCACGCCAGAACCTTTATATTTTTCTTACAGAGCCACTCCTTGGTTATCCTGGCTGTGTGCTTTGGGTCATTGTCATGTTGGAAGACCCAGCCTCGACCCATCTTCAATGCTCTAACTGAGGGAAGGAGGTTGTTCCCCAAAATCTCGCAATCCATGTCCCCGGTAATCCTCTCCTTAATACAGTGCAGTCGCCCTGTTCCATTTGCAGAAAAACACCCCCAAAGCATGATGCAACCACCCCCTTGCTTCACAGTAGGGATGGTGTTCTTGGGATGGTACTCATCATTCTTCTTCCTCCAAACACTGTTAAGTGGAATTATGACCAAAAAGTTCTATTTTGGTCTCATCTGACCACATGACTTCATCCAAATGGTCATTGGCAAACTTGAGACGGGCCTTGACATGTGCTGGTTTAAGCAGGGGAACCTTCCGTGCCATGCATGATTTCAAACCATGACGTCTTAGTGTATTACAGTAACCTTGGAAACGGTGGTCCCAGCTCTTTTAAGGTCATTGACCAGCTCCTTCTGTGTAGTTCTGGGCTGATTTCTCACCTTTCTTAAGATTATTGAGACCCCATGACGTGAGATTTTGCATGGAGCCCCAGTCCGAGGGAGACTGACAGTCATGTTTAGCTTCCATTTTCTAGTGAATGCTTCAACAGTGGACCTTTTTTTTACCAAGCTGATTGGCAATTTCCCCATAGCCCTTTCCAGCCTTGTGGAGGTGTACAATTTTGTTTCTAGTGTCTTTGGACAACTCTTTGGTCTTGATCATGTTAGTAGTTGGATTCTTACTGATTGTATGGTGTGGACAGGTGTCTTTATGCAACTAACGACCTCAAACAGGTGCATCTAATTGAGGTGGACATTTTAAAGGCAGACTAACAGGTCTTTGAGGGTCAGAATTCTAGCTGATAGACAGGTTTATAAATACTTATTTGTAGCTGTATCATACAAATAAATACTTTAAAAAATCATATATTGTGATTTTCTAGATTTTTTTTAGATTATGTCACAGTGGACATGCACATATGATGACAATTTCAGACCCCTCCCTGATTTCTAAGTGGGAGAACTTGCAAAATAGCAGGGTGTTCAAAGACTTATTTTCCTCACTGTATGTATAAGTATATATATATATATATATATATATATGAAGAGTTCAGATGCAAAAGCCTCTAAGTGCCATTTGAAATTTTCTTCTAGAATGATCATTTTTATCAAGCTTGTATATATAAGTTCAGTGATTTCACTTAAATGGCAATGATAATTACCTATTAATTGTTATTTAAGTGAAATTACTGAACTTAAATATACAAGCTTGATAAAAATGATCATTCTAGAAGAAAATTTCAAATGGCACTTAGAGGCTTTTTATATATATATAAAAAACAACTTTTTTTCCTCCAAAAAGGTCAGCATCACTGCAAATCTATATATATATATATATATATATATATATATATATGAAGAGTTCAGATGCAAAAGCCTCATTTTTATCAAGCTTATATATTCAAGTTCAGTAATTTGAAATTACTGAACTTAAATATACAAGCTTGATAAAAATGATCATTCTAGAAGAAAATTTCAAATGGCACTTAGAGGCTTTTGCATAGAGGATGATATGCAGTGATGCTGACCTTTTTGGAGGAAAAAAGTTGTTTATAAATTGCGCCAGTGCAGAATGCATCATAACAAAGATGAATGAGAATAAAGTTATTCTCATTGCCTTTGCAACCATCTATGAGCTCACACAAGGAATTGTCAAACATGCAGCACACAATCTCAGACAAATATTACAAGTATCATTTTGTTTCTATTCTCTCAGTACATGCTCAGAAAAAAATTAGCAATTTCCATCTTGCTGCTGACATTTGATTACAGTACTAGACATCATGTTCATCTGATATCTTGCCCCCTATTGGTAGTCATTACATTAAGTCATTCTGCATTTGCATAAAGTTAAACCTTTGTCATGTTTGTCATATTTATGAAATGTTAAGATATTTATAGTTTCATTTTGAATTGTAAAATTTGTTTAGGTGACTACAAATTTGTGTCTGCCACATACCGGCTCTTCAAGTTACCAAAAGGTTCAGAGAAGAGGTCCTGTCTGGTCATGTACAACGGAGAGATTACAGGTGTGGAGGAAAGCTTCGAGTTTGATGCCCAATTTACCTTTAAGGTATGTAGTTACATCCAGTTCATCAGAATTGAACTACTTATTCACCAGAGCTCATAACTCACATCAGATCCTGCACATTCTTTCTCTTCTTTGTCCCATTAGTAATTATTAATATTTTTGAATAAATTAACAGTAATGTTATGGTTAGCTGTTTGAATCTTGACAATGTCACTATCATTTTGTTTGGAAAATAAGTGTCATGTAAGTGTGAGCTTTAAAATAATATCTTAACTGTTTCTTATATTCCTAGATTTTACTTTGTTGGTCATATTGTAATAATATATGAAAATTATATGCATATAAATGCTACACATGTAAATATTAAGTTAAATGTGTTGCATAAAAATCTTGACATTTACCGTTCAAAAGTTTCTGTTCAGTAGAATTTTTTTTTTTTTTTTTTTTAAGAAATGAATAGTTATGCAGCAAGGATGAATTTAATAATGATTCGGCAAGGACGAATTGAATAATTAAACACAAAAGCGCTAGTAAAGGCATTTTGTAATATTGCAAAAATAAATATATTTAAAATAAACAGTGTTCTTTTTAACTTTCTATTCTTCAGAGCATTCTGAAATAAAGTAAAAGCACAGTTTGCACAAAAATATTAAACAAAATTGTTTCGACATTAATAAGAAGAAATGTTTCCTGGGCTGCAAATCAACATATTATAAGGATTGTGACTCTGAAGCAGGAATCAGTTACATTTTAAAATAGATTAAATAGAAAACTGTTATTTTAAATTTTAATAATATTTCACAATATTGCAGTATTTTGTATCAGCCGTAGTGATCATAAGATCCTGCTTAAAAAAAATAGAAAACATTGACTAAAAAACTTATTGTTTTTTGTGAACAATCATAATCAAGACAATTCTGGGTCTTTGTCTAGGTTGATAAAGTGATGGAGGTGGATGCTGAGGTGGCCAGCCTCTTGAGGAACTCCAGATTTGCTGAAGAATTCACATTTCAGCCTCAGGAGGTGAACACCTCTGGAGGATGCTGGGCCAAACCCAAGGTATGTGACTCATTTCCTACCATGCCTCATTTTCTTGGCCTACCTTTATCAGCAATGCAGTAATAGTATAGCACACCTCTATATTCAGTATTATAATGATCCATTTGCATTTCAGTTTTAAAATATATATTTTTTTGCAATGTTAGACTCATGATCTTTCTAAAAACAACAACGGTGTTTATCACCCAACTGACATCTAGCATTGGAAAATGATTATATTTCAAGCGAAATCGAGAAAGAACTGGTGTGACATCATTTCAAACTAAATCAGGCCAAAGCGAACTTTCTAGGAAAATTTGCTCCGGCTGCTAAACGCCTTCAAACTACAAACGGCAGTGGCGATGACATAATTGGTAGGTGTGTGCTGAGGGTTTGTCTTATTTGACATGAAAATCTGCTGCGAAAGTGACGGGCACATTTTTTTTCCGTGTTTAATACAGAAAAGCTAATTGCTTTAAAGAAATCTATTGTATAAAGTGCCAAATTGCAGAGCAGTTTCAAACATATCTACTTCGCTATGATCAGATGCTTTCATATCTGCTGTATCCGCTGTCATTTTTGCTGCATTTTTGTTATTGAGAGGAAAGCGAGCAACACATATTGCAAATAGTTCTAAATTATGCTCTCAGCAGTGAGGGTGGCTTTGGAATATTTGCTATTCAAACTGCTTTTTACCCTTAAGAAAAGAAAGATATTTTGCCGTGAGTATTTCTGGACTTTCAGTTGCTCTATACAGACACTCAAGGTCACCCATCTGTACCACAAAGCCTTGAACGCAGAGGAATGTCCGCCCTTCCAAACAAAGAATGCCATCTTATCAAAGCTGGTGGTGATTCAGTCTTTGCAAACGAATCGACAACAACACGCGGTCATCCTCCGGGCAGTTTAATGATCACTGTTGGCGCCTGGATCGGATTTACTCGGATTGAAATCCTGATTTTAAACATTTAACTAAAAAACATGCATTTGGTTGATGTTAGTTAATGACCTAATGTTAGAAAATATCTAAAAGTTAAACTTATCTTAAACTTCTAAAGAGCTAAAAATTTTCCTGACATGCTTCAGTGGATTTTTACTTTCACACAGAAAACCTCAAATATAATCTTATTTACAATCAATTTACATAGTGAATAAGGCACTATTTTTTTTTCACATTTGTATGAGTTATGCAATATTGATATCATTGTTTTTAGGTGAGTTTAATGCAATTTAAGTTGAAATTACTTAAACATCCAAGTTGATTGTACTTAAACATTAAAGGCAGCAATTGTTTTTTTGTTTTTTTTTTTACAGTCTATTTGCTCTATTTTGTTTTAGTATTGGTTTTGTCTGATTTGAAAGTGTAATAAGGAAGAAGTTTTAATCTTCTTGATGCACTAGCCCCCCCAAATCTGATTATGTTATATATTTTCAAGTATATGTATAAACTTGCAGAGGCATATATAGTTTTCAAAACACATTTTGCACCTAATTGTTCTCTAAACTTTCCCTGGATCCCAGCTTGAAAAGCCCTGTTCTTGACTCTAGTTTTTGGTCTCTGAATGCAATAAACTTTTACACAGCAATGATAAAATGGGCTGTAGTTGCACAATGAATCAGTCCGAATGCTCTGTGTCATTGAGTACTTTGGAACCAAATAGCTATACATTATGATTAATGCAAATACTGTACTTCCAACGGCTGAGAATGTTCCTCTCTCTTCAGGCAGTGTCAATGAATCCCTTTGAACTGGTCCAGCAGTTGGGCAGTGCAAGTGTAACTGCTTCCACTGGGGGGTGCTGTGCGGGCCAGGAGTCATGCTGCAACTGAATCTAATGGAAAATCAGTTTTGCCCGTTTATAATTTGAAAAGAACAAATTATTGGTTGTAATTTTTTAACTGTGATTTTGTACAAAAAATAATAACATTACTCATTTGTAAAAGGTAACAAAAAACAAGGACACATCAGTATTGTGTAATGTTGTGTATGCATTTTTAAACATATGGATTAATTTATAGCAATATCTAAGTCTATATCGTTGCATAATCTGAAGCATTCACCTGCCAGATTTAATCTTTATTATATCTTTATTGTATTGACAGATATAATCTAACTGAAAACTCATGGTTTATTGAACTTTTGTAATCAAATCACTTTTTTCTACTGCTGTAATAAAAATGTCTGAGCCGACTGCCTGGCTATTACTATCAGCTGGAGAATATTCATGGTCTCTCAAATGAAAATCACCTTTTATTAAATATAATCTAGCCTGCATCCCTTAAAATTTCAGGTGAGAAGGGGGAACACATTAACTAACCCTTTGCTGCGATTATGGGACCAATGTTCTTTTCTGAAAAAGGACAGAATTTGAGGTTATAGACACTTAAGGAATCTTGTGCAGAATTCCATTGTAGAGTGAAACGTTTTAGTTTAAAAAGTTCTCTCTAATTTACTGAACGTGTAAAGTTTCACCACCTGTGAAGATTTTTAGGATTGTGAAATGGTTCATAATCCGTCAACTCTCCTTTGGTCTGGATTGATCTCTGGCCCTGATAATGATAAAATGCGCACTGTATGGAGATCTGAGTCCATGATTATTTTTACATCCTTTCATAGGTTTTGCACCTCTTGCAGTTCTTAAGATCCCTCTAATCCCTGCCTTATCTATATAAGATAAAGAGTTACCTATTTTGAATAATCATAATAAATGTTCAGCTTTGTTAATTTTCTTTAGGATGACATGGACTAAATCGTTGTTCAAAATGTGTGCATGGGTTTTCTCCAACTCTGAGAACTATAAAACTAATCTTTTCAACGTTTTTTTTTTCTTTTGCTTCTCTTAAAAAGGATTGTTGTAGATGTTATTGTTTCACCCTTGTCCCAGACACAAACTTTAAATCCAACATAAAGATATGAATTATTGTAAGATCTGTGGTGCAGTGCACATGTTCTGGGGTCCCTGAGAGCCCAACCTGGAACATCCTGTGATCCTACTTCCCCTCTTACCCATACTTTCTACACTTCTATTTTTTATTACTACTACTACTATTATTATTTTTTTTAAGAAACAACCTCTTAAAATATAGTGGATGGTAATACTTTCATAAATGTAACAATCATACAAAAAATTATTTTGATGTCTAACAAATGATGCATAATTTCCAGCACAACCAACAGTTTTGTATAATTGCTTTATATTTTGTATAAAATATATAGGTCTATATTTTGGATTCCTCCTAAGTATAGCTACTGGTTATCTGTTGAGATATCTGTTTTAGATTGATTTTAATTGTGTATCATTTCACTCAATTTAATTTAGGGTACATTTAGATATTTCTAATTTATTTAAAAAAAACATTTAAAATGGAATTTCCACCATTGTAATTTTCAGCACAGAGTGCTAGACAGTTGAATTTGTGAATACAAAGGGAAAATTACAGAATTCACTTGTGATGCCAAATTACTGTTGGACTTTGTAAATAGATTGTAAATTAAACAATCATAGTGAGTGTGATATAAATGTATCAGTCCACATGTTGTCCATAAAGTAATGTTGAAGAAACTCTCTAAAATCTTGTTTAGGTATTTATTACATTTCCTGAGAGTATCTTGGTATTATTCAAAAATGCTGTCACCAAATATCCTTCTCAAAACACACACACACACACACACAAAAAAACAGTCACGGGGAAAACTTCTGAATGCGCTCGTTTGCATTAAGTGCGACTGTTTACGTAGCTCATTGGCTGTTCCAGCAGCGAAGGCCCCGCCCAACGTCCAGCTGCGCTACTGGATTGGCTGGCCAGGTTGCCTGTCACCGAGACATCAGTAGAGGCACGAGTTCGCGCTGCTCTCGCTGAAGTGTGATCAGTTTCAGCGGCGTAGTGGGACTCAGCGAGACCTGATGCACAAGTCAAGGCGACGCACAGCGGAGATGAAGCCGGATTGGCTCTGATTTTTAAAAGCCCTTTCATTCAAGAGGCTGTCCATTATCAACAGTCGGTTCCAGTAGCCCCTCAAAAAATGGCGTCACTTAGCCGGGTCCGAGCCTTTACTTTGATTTTCTTTACTGCAAGCAGTTTTTTAATTACTCCCACAAGTGGCAAGGAAGGAGGGGGAGAGGAGACTGTCATCATCGGGCTGAGACTGGAGGACACGGACGACATTTCCTTCATGGACAGGGGCTATTTGCGGGTCAGTGAGAGGTCCCGGGTGAGATTGAGGGTGTACGGGCAAAACATTAACAACGAGACGTGGTCCAAAATCGCCTTTACGGAACACGAGAGGAGTCGAGTGATTGGCAACATCGACAGCTCCTCAGGAGACAACAAGAGTCAGGAGGACACGTCGGGCTTGCACCCCTGTGGCATCAGGACTTCAGATATTCTGATCTTACCCAACATCATTTTAACCCGCAAGACGTCTGGCATCGTGGAAATCGAGGTCAAACCTTTACGAAAGACGGAGAGGAGCAAAGCTTACTACCTGTGCATCGCCACTTCCACACCTGCTGTGGCTGGCATGCACGACCCTTGGACGGAGACCACGTGGATCTATCACGATGGAGAGGACACCAAAGTGATCGTGGTGGAGGAGAGAAAGTTTCTGCTCCCTTTCTGGCTCCAGGTCACCTTTATTTCCATGTTGCTCTGCCTCTCGGGCATGTTCAGCGGCTTGAACCTGGGTCTGATGGCGCTGGATCCCATGGAGCTCCAGATCGTCCAGAACTGCGGGACAGAGAAGGAGAAGAACTACGCCAGGAAGATCGAACCTGTCAGGAGTCAAGGAAACTACCTGCTTTGCTCGCTTCTTCTGGGGAATGTTCTGGTCAACACGACCTTGACCATTTTGTTGGATGATATCGCCGGTTCTGGATTGATAGCTGTAGTGATGTCAACCATTGGCATTGTGATATTTGGGGAGATTGTGCCTCAAGCTATATGTTCACGACACGGTCTCGCTGTGGGTGCGAATACAATCTTCTTGACTAAATTCTTCATGCTGCTCACATTCCCTGCGTCCTATCCGGTAAGTAAACTGCTTGACTATCTCCTCGGACAGGAGATTGGCACCGTGTACAACCGAGAGAAGCTGTTGGAGATGTTGAGGGTCACGGATCCCTATAATGACTTGGTGAAAGAGGAGTTAAACATCATTCAGGGCGCGCTGGAGCTCAGGACTAAGACAGTGGAAGATGTGATGACCCCGTTGCGCGATTGCTTCATGATCGCCAGCGACGCCACGCTCGACTTCAACTCCATGAGTGAGATCATGGAGAGCGGCTACACGCGCATTCCGGTATTCGAGGGCGACAGGTCCAACATCGTGGACTTGCTGTTCGTGAAGGACCTTGCGTTTGTGGATCCCGACGACTGCACCCCGCTGAAGACGATAACGAAATTCTACAGCCATCCCTTACATTTCGTCTTCAACGACACTAAACTCGACGCTATGCTGGAGGAGTTCAAGAAAGGTGAGAACGCGCTCGCGCTGAGAGGTGATGTACGTGTCTTTGAACAATGTTGCATTGAGTGTTTTCCTGCTTTTTAAGCACATTCTACGTTGCAAATAGGTTTTATTGTCATAGACTATCATCATATCTATATTAAGGCAGTCGCGTGCCTTTTACGCACCGGCTGTATTACGCACGACTATCATTGGGCTAGATTCTACATTCCCTTTTCTTCAAAAACTTTGTTTTTAGTCCAACATATGTCTTTTCAGGTATTTAAACATTGACCTGTAAGGCAACACACATAGCCTATTCAGTTTACTTGAAGGTACTCAGATATTTGTTTTTAATTAATGTAATACCTATGTTATGTATACGCTATTATGGTATGTCACCTATCATAATTTCATCCCACGTTATCCTGTAAAGTCCTATGTCTTCCCAGTTTTTATCACCTAATGATTTAAACTCTCTAAATTGGGATAAACTTAAGATTGTTTGTAAAATCGGTAACTTGCTGTTATAAATAGATTTTTGCAAAAAAAAAAAAGTTTTTAGTTGGCTATAGTGTTACATTGATGGGAATAATTTGTTATAGTAATAATGTGAACTTTTGAGAAGTTTGTCATTCATGGTCATCCCATTTCAGAGTTTGCTAAATGCTTCCTCTCCATACCCATTGCGTGCTCTTTCTTGAGGGTTCCTGCACTATTTAAAACTATTTTGAGTTGTCAGCTTTGGCCTATTTGACCTTATTTGCTGCCCCCAGGACCCTACAAAGGTATTACAATGCGCCTGAGTGCAGGGAAGTGCCGTATCTCGATGTGCCCTCACATAGCTAAGGGTTAATGCTTGCAGCAGTGGTGAGAATGTAGTGATGCAATGGAAATACACTGCAGGTGTACTCACAGTTGCTAAAGGATGACTCAGGGGGGTTATTAGGTGTAATACTTCATAATGCATGAAATAACATGCCAGTTCAACCATCTGTATTTTGTGTTATTAGGTGGTAAAATGGTGAGTCTAGATGGGGATTTTCTAATTAGAAATTTCTCATTCTGAAAAAGAAAACTATTTAATAGCTTATTCCCCATATAGATTAAAAAAGACTGAGTAGATTTAAAGTTTAATGGTGTGAATCATACCCTATAATGTAGAGTATACAGACCAATATTACTAAATGTCATAACCAATTAGCCTACATTATCAGTTTCCATTAGACACAGCTATGTCAGTATCCACTCCTCTGGAAACCTGATGTTTTATTTAAAGTCAAACCAGCTTACCAGTAATATCAAAATGAACTATTGTAGTTATTCATCTAATGCATGAATACATTTCATTTATATATATATATATATATATATATATATATATACAGGAATACACAGCCATTATAATAATTTTAGCAACCTTGGCTATGATTGCGACTCTTTTGTTCTTGGCTTCTCTCCAGAGGAAACTCACGATTGGCTGTTGGTATTCTAATGACTGATTAGGGGAGTGGGCACAAAGTTTCACGTCGATCTGGCTGTGGTTTGGGCACTCTCTCAGTTCAAACTTAGTGCTTTGTATTGTAAGTCAGTGTTAATTAATCTAATGCCTCTTGTGGAGCTGCACAGCCATCCAAAGTAGGAGCAAAATACATCACTCCTGCCAAGCACACCTTCAAAGGGCAATTTGTTTCTCTTTGATTTTGCTTTTTGAGTGGCAAAAGTTGCTTTTATTATTTCTGCAGCCGTCTTAAATGATAGCATTTGAACATGAAGTAGATGATGCTCGGTTCTGACAGAGGAAAATGGACTCGGATGTCTTATAATAGTCAACTAATTTGGGTCCGAATGAGAAGGACTTCTGACTCCAATCATGACCTTGAAGGTCAGCCCTAAAATTCCTAGAGCTACAGACTAGCTCCTGATTGAAATAATTAGTGTGTCATAAAGGGAGCCCTGCCAAACAGCAGTTTTGTGTTTAATGAGAATGGCATTGTTCATCATCTGGGCTTAACCCAAAGTTGTGCAGTTCAAGGAGGCATTTGCTGCTGCTGCTGCTGCAAAGATTCTTATATGTTGATGTGGTATTTTGTTGTTCTCTCTTAGTATGCAAGTTTATTTGGAAGAATATTTTCAATGCTAAACAGAGTTGCGTTTTCTTATTAGTGGGGAATAACAATTAAATATTTAATTAACTAAAGGGCTCAACAATAAGGATTGTCCACTATCAAGGGTTATTGTGAGACACTTGAGAAAACTGTCAATGCAGTGTAAAACAATTTACGTTCATTGAACTTGTACATCAATGTTTTTCATACATTAAATTTTTTTCTGTAATGTAATGTACATTCTTTTGTTGCAAATTCTACTAATTTGTCACCAAGATTAATAAATATGAGGGTTTGTAATATATATATATATATATATATATATATATATATATATATATACGTATATATATGAAGAGTTCAGATGCAAAAGCCTCTAAATGCCATTTGAAATTTTCTTCTTTAATGATGATTTTTGTCAAACTTGTATATTTAAGTTCAGTGATTTCACTTAAATGGCAATGATAATTACCTATTAAATGTTATTTAAGTGAAATTACTGGAGTTAAATCTACAAGTTTGACAAAAATCATCATTAAAGAAGAAAATTTCAAATGGCATTTAGAGGCTTTTGCATCTGAACTCTTCATATATATATATATATATATATATATATATATATATATATATATTTTTATAAATTTATAAATGTATACATTTAAAAAATTTATGTATGTGTATATATATATATATATATATTAAATAGTGAACAAGTGTATTTTCAAGAAACCTTAAATGGATGGATAGTTAACCCAAGGATGAAAACTCTGTTATAATTTACTCACTGGTATGTCATTCTAAACCCACGAGATTTGGGTTAATCTTCAAAACACAAATTAAGATTTTTTTTTTTTTACATCTAAACAATGATTGACACACACAAAGACCACAAAACATAACGTCTGTGATGCTCAAGGACCAACAAGATTTGTTTTAGAGCTTAATGAACACGTAATGCGTGCAAACGTTTCTGTTTACCATACTTGATATAGGCCTATACAAAATTTGTGTGTATATAATGGAACGATATGTCGCAATGTTTGGAACAACATTTTTGGCTTTCCCTTCAACATATAATGAAAAAAAAAATATTTCTCCAATTATAAAAGTGCCTTGCTAAACATTAAAATAATTCTTTTGTGTCAGTGCAAAAAAAAAAAAAAAAAAAAAAAATCCATATTGTTGATCCCTGAACTTAAATTTTTAGGGGTCATTCAAAATCCAAAGGAATAGAACACAGTGCAAATTTTTTTTTAAATCTATTATTTTTTTTTTTACCTTGACAGAGCTTTATAAAAATGCAACGCTCAATGATGCAAGATGCTGAAAAACAACAAGATTTAGTCCAGTTTACATTAAAAAAAAAAAAAAAAAAAAAACTTTTTTATTGAAAGCAAGTATGCACCTTGATTGACCAGCCCTTGGATGCTTTCTTCATGCTTGATCATATCTCAGCATACATTGTGTTAGTTAATTTAGGGCTTAATCTAGAAAAGAAAGGTTACTGACTTCTTTGTAGTATTTACCTCATCAAACTCATTTAGCTGCAGAAGGATGTAGAAAACATACTCTGCAAAAAGTTAGAACAAAGTACTTAAAGACAAAGGTCATGAAATCAGAGCCTAACTCTCTTGAACTCACTAAACCTCCAATATGACTTGGTTCAGTGCCAGCATTGCTATCACACGCTTGAGGCGATCAATCTGTTAATTTATGTGAGATAGGAAGATTTGTTATCATTTTAAATCATTCAGATGTACTCTTGGCCGTCAGTGACTCCACACTCATCTGTATCTCCACAATAAATGTTTTTGTCATTATGGTTATAGGAAACAGCAATTAAGAGACTTACTTAATCTTATCTCATATTCATGATGTTATACCTTCAAAATATATCATAATTGGTCAAAACTCCTTAAAAAGCCTGCATATTTTGCACCTGTTATACTTGTGACATCTATAGATGTCATAAACCACAGTAGTTCATTTACAGTACAGTATTATTGTAACACAGGGCCACTGAAGGTGATTGGCCTCCACATGAGTTCTTGCACGTATTGAACCAATCCACCCGCCTGCTAATGTAGGCCAATCTATGCTTAATTCAGATTCAGCAACCTCCTTTCCCTCTTGTTTTAACGTGGGAATTCTTTTTTACTTCACTTGGCCTAGTTATGGCTGCATTATGTCTCATAATAGATGACATCCCTTCTTCTTACACTGCTCGATCCAAATAACATCCTCTTCAATTCAATCAGATTCATTTATGTGGCACCCCCCATCTTCAATTTTGACAGTTCATCTGATGAGCAATCAGTGTAATGATTTCTGCTCAGATGTTGGAGCGTATACAGTACTTATATAGCAACACTTGCTTTTGCTGGTGGGGATTATGTGGCGTCATATTGGCAGGAACTCTGCTGGATATAGTATGTGGGATCCCCCTCTGAACACACTATAGTTTCACACTTATGGCGTTTTTACTCTGGGCACTTTTGCTGTAGTCCGTGTCCGAGCGTGATTGTTCCCGGGCGCCCCCCACTGTGTTGGTCTGGCTTCACTCTCAACTTGATTCTATTAAACTCTGGTGCAGTTGCGTTCATCTTACGCCATCACAAATGTGCACGGTGCTTGATAGGAAAAAGAATGCGGGTCAAATATATTGTGGGGTTTTTTTTTGGTGCTATGCACAGCTGAGTAAACGACACTCTGAATGTGTGTCACATTAAGGCGTCTTTCTGCTGCTTGCAAACAGACTCTTTTGAGGATAACAAATGGGATTGCCAACAATTTGCTGCCCTGATTGCACTCTATGCATGAATATTCTGCAGGTTCAGTCTCGCTAGTATCCAAGGTAAACCATCAACACTATCATCCTATCAACTACCAACTAAATACATCAGAATCGCCTAAAACGCAT